TCTGATTGAGTATCAGAAACAGGAAACGAGCTCTGATTGAGTATCAGGAACAGGAAATGAGCTCTGATTGAGTATCGGAAACATGAAACGAGCTCTGATTGAGTATCAGGAACAGGAAATGAGCTCTGATTGAGTATCAGAAACAGGAAACGAGTTCTGATTCAGTATCAGGAACAGGAAACAAGCTCTGATTCAGTATCAGTAACAGGAAACGAGTTCCGACTGAGTATCAGGAACAGGAAACGAGCTCCGATTCAGTATCAGGAACAGGAAACAAGCTCCGATTCAGTATCAGGAACAGGAAACGAGCACTGAGTGACCATAAGGAACAGGAAACGAGCTCTGATTGAGCATAAGGAACAGGAAACGAGCTCTGATTGAGTATCAGAAACAGGAAACGAGTTCTGATTCAGTATCAGGAACAGGAAACAAGTTCTGATTCAGTATCAGGAACAGGAAACAAGTTCTGATTCAGTATCAGAAACAGGAAACGAGCTCTGACTCAGTATCAGGAACAGGAAATGAGCTCTGATTGAGTATCAGAAACAGGAAACAAGTTCTGATTCAGTATCAGGAACAGGAAACGAGCTCTGACTCAGTATCAGGAACAGGAAATGAGCTCTGATTGAGTATCAGAAACAGGAAACAAGTTCTGATTCAGTATCAGGAACAGGAAACAAGCTCTGATTCAGTATCAGTAACAGGAAACGAGTTCCGACTGAGTATCTGGAACAGGAAACGAGCTCCGATTCAGTATCAGGAACAGGAAACAAGCTCCGATTCAGTATCAGGAACAGGAAACGAGCTCTGATTGAGCATAAGGAACAGGAAACGAGCTCTGATTGAGTATCAGAAACAGAAAACGAGTTCTGATTCAGTATCAGGAACAGGAAACGAGCTCTGATTGATTATCAGGGACAGGAAACGAGCTCTGAAACATCAAACAAGCTCACCTGCGTTAGGAACCTGGAGGTCAATCTTAACGTCAAAGTCATGGACTTTAAACAAGTCTTCTGAGAGGTCAGTGGTTGGCTTTGGGACATCCTTGTCTTTAGGGTTTGTTTGTCCCTAAAATAAAAAGAGTAAAAGGAAAAATAAAGTTGAAATTAGGAAAACAAGATTTAAATTAGCAGAAAACATCCATGAATCCATCAAGAAACTTACAGACCAGCACTAAATTATCAAATGAAACTTGGCCTCTTTAAAACAGTCAAATTAGAAAGAAATTCAAGGTGACGACGCAGACGATGGTTTTAGTTCCACAAAACTAAACATCTTTCAGGACGTGTGAAGGGCCCTGCATCCATATGAAGTGGTGAAATCTCTCATTGTTCTAGCTGTGTGACAAAAATCACGTCATTTTGTTCTCAGAGTAGCTCCGCCCCTTCTCCACACAAGGATCAGGCCGAGGCGTATAAGCCAGTGACTGTGATTGGTCAGAAGTTTGTGGGTGTGTCCATCAATGCAGGAATGGGCTCAGTCGTTCTGCTGCACGACTCTTTAAACACTAAAAATGGGCAAATGGTCAAAAACTCCTGGATGGAGACCGTGCACACGTCGTGCACAGAGGAGTTTATGGCGCTGCGTCTCATGGACCATGGAAGGCGTGGCCAAAACGAAACACCACGTGACCGCATGTGGACTGTTGGCTTCAGATGGAGCACGCCGGGCCGTTAATACTGACCTGTGTGTTCGTCTCTGTGCTGGAAGGTTCTGCAGCTCCTGACCCGGAGCCGTACTTCTGGTTCAGGTGAGCAAGAATAGCTGCATGAACTGATGGATCTCTGGCCTGAGAACGAAGAAGTAATAAATCAATAAATCAAAAGAGGCTTCACAGATTTATTTCAAAGAGTTTAATGTTGGCCTGAAATTTTGGAGTCTGCTCAGTTTGTCGGTCTGTTTCAGGTTCTCTCAGTTAGTTTTAAAAATAAATTAAAAATGAGTTCTGTTTCATTTCACTCGTGTGGCGCTGAACCAAACCCAGACACTCATTCTGAACTGTATGAATAAAACCATGGATGAAAACTCAGGAGGTTCTAAGTGCTTGAGATGAAGAACGCACGTTTGACACCATGGTTGGTTTGCACTGCCTGCGGGTGAACGGGTCCATTTGTTGGTTTTTAGAATTCTGCCCTTCAGCCTGTCAGAAAACACAGAAAACCTCATTAAAACATAAACTCTAAAACAAATGTTGGAGCACAAACTCATGTGAAACACGTGTTCCTCTAGGTGAGGAGACCCGTCCATGTCCACACGCAAACACCTGACGTGTTCAGCAGAACGTCCGGACTCTTCGTCACATCATCGGAGAGCTCAGAGTTTTAACGCGTTTCATTTAAACGAGTTAGAGGAGCCACATAAATCACCTCAGTCAGAACAAAGATGTCCGCCTTCCTCTGCAAACTGCTCACTCTGTCGGTGACCTCTAAAAAAGTAGAGGTCAGACTATATTTGACATGTTTAATCTTCAGCAGTCGGTCGAGCTGCTGACAGACAAACTCGTGATTTCGTCACAGATCTGATCGTAACAGCAACACAGGACGTTCCTGAATGATTCCAGGGATGTTTGTTAATTATACATGCAAGAGGAGCATTTGACCAGAGAAACATTTTAAACGTGTTGTGAACGCTGGAGATGATCTTCAACATGAAGCTCTTTGTTTCTGTGTGGTGACCGAACCAAAGTAGACTTTAAACAGACCTGAAGGCTCCTCAGAAACTAACCAAGCTCTCTCTCAGTTGGATGTGAAACAGAACTTCATGGTCCACATCTTTGTTGCACATTTTTGTAGTTTAGAGTCAAAATGAAGTTTTTGTGTTGTTGTTTGTAATATTGTTTTCAGATATACCACTCTGGAGTTATCAGACGTTCTGTTTGACACATGGTCTGTGGGTTATTCCTAAACTTCAGATTGGATAAAAACAGACAGTAAAGTTTTATTTTGTAGAGGAAGTAGTAGTTAATAAACCCCACATTACAGTAAAGGACCTGTGGTCTCAGTCCTCGAGGGCCACTCCTGCACGTCTTAGAGCTTTCTCTGAATTCAATGAATGAACATCAGGATTCTGCAGAACATGAAGACCTGCTGAACACCAGGGAACCAATAAAACATGCAGGATGGGGGCCTTCACGGACCAGGACTGGGCACTACGGTCTTCTGGAGCTAACCTACAGCGCCTTGCTTGAGGTCTCAGTAATAAATCTTTGGGAGTGGGAGGTCACACAGACACTTTATTATCACGCCATCACAGAATGAAGCTGCGAGGTGAGATTTAAACATGTTTTCATGTTAAATGGACTCAGTTTGACTCTGCTCGGGTTGACTTATGGCACTTTGCTACTGTATCAACTGTCAGTGGTTCCACACCTCAACAGTTAAGGGCCCCATCACTGCTGGTACCCAACCCCGCTCAGCCTGGTTTATGGAACCACCTCGTTCATGGTTCCAAGCAGACGGCTCTGAAGGACGATTCTGATGTAATCAGACCGCAGCCATAAATTGGCCAGTGGAGCTTCATCACTGGACGACCCGCCCAGCAGAACTACAAACTACATCTGAACCTCCTCTTCCTTTCTGATTGTTGCAGAAAGCAGAGTACGGGTTATTGGTACAGGTTGGTAATATTTTATCTGCTTCAATGCCTCCTGTGGGGTTCCACAGGGCTCGATTTTAGGACTCTATCGGTTTTCGCTGTATCTGCTCCCTTTGGGGTCTATCCTGAGGAAACGTCTTTCGTTTCATTGTTATGCTGATGATGGTCAGATGTATCTGCCCTTAAAATCCAATAGTCCTTGCTCCATTCACCTTCTGTTAAAATGTCTTGATGACATCGAGACATGGATGGCTTCACATTTTTTCAGTTTTAATGATCAGAAAACTGAAGTTATTGTGTTTAGCCTTAGCTGTACTGCTGTCTCTGATCCTGTAAACCTGGACTCTCTTGAGCCATACCTTAAGCAGTCTGTTACAAATCTCGGGATAGTTTTAGACTCTGATTTTAAGTTTAATAAACAAATTAACTCTGTTCTACAAAAATGCTTCTTCCAGTTAAGGCAGCTAGCTAAGCTTAAGTCTATGTTCACCAGATATGACAGTGGAAAAATAGTTCCTGCCTTCAGGACATCCTGACTAGACTACTGTAACGTGCTTTATGTTGGGGTCAGTCAGGTCTCTTTTACATCTCCAGCTCGTCCCAAACTCCTCCATACAAACAAGAAGTTTATGTCTTAGAATCTTAAAGGTGGAAATCTGTGGGATAACTCCTTTACAAAAAACCTGAGAGAACTTGTAAAAAAACAAAAAAATAAAATGTCTAAACCTGTAAAGGTTGTGTCGAAAACAGTGGAGACTTACCACAAGTGCTTTCTCAGATTCAACAATGTTCCAGCTTCTGTTCCTCTGATTGATATAGCTGAACGACAGAAACAAGCCGTCACTCTCACATAACACAAATATAGAAATACTGCAGCATTTTAAACTGTTACAATAAAATAAATAAAAATAC